ACCTCACATCATCCATCAGTGTAACATCGCATCATCGCATCATCCATCAGTGTGACACCTCACCTCATCATCCATCAGTGTAACGTCTCATCATCACATCATCCATCAGTGGAACGTCTCACCTCATCATCCATCAGTGTAACATCTCACCTCACATTATCCATCAGTGTAACATCGCATCATCACATCATCCATCAGTGTGACACCTCACCTCACATCATCAATCAGTGTAACATCTCATCATCACATCATCCATCAGTGGAACATCTCACCTCACATCATCCATCAGTGTAACATCTAACATCATCCATCAGTGTAACATGTCACATCATCCATCAGTGTAAGATGTAACATCATCCATCAGTGTAACATCTCACCTCACATCATCCATCAGTGTAACATCTAACATCACCCATCAGTGTAACATCTCACATCATCCATCAGTGGAACATTTCACCTCACATCATCCATCAGTGTAACATCTCACTCTCACATCATCCATCAGTGTAACATCTCACCTCACATCATCCATCAGTGTAACACCTCACATCATCCATCAGTGTGACATCTCACATCATCCATCAGTGTAACATCTAACATGATCCATCAGTGTAACATCTCATCATCCATCAGTGTAACATCTCACATCATCCATCAGTGTAACATCTCACCTCACATCATCCATCAGTGTAACACCTCACCTCACATCATCCATCAGTGTAACATCTCACATCATCCATCAGTGTGTACATCTCACATCATCCATCAGTGTAACATCTCATCATCACATCATCCATCAGTGTAACACCTCACCTCACATCATCCATCAGTGTAACATCGCATCATCATCATCATCCATCAGTGTGACACCTCACCTCACATCATCCATCAGTGTAACGTCTCATCATCACATCATCCATCAGTGGAACGTCTCACCTCACATCATCCATCAGTGTAACATCTCACCTCACATTATCCATCAGTGTAACATCGCATCATCACATCATCCATCAGTGTGACACCTCACCTCACATCATCAATCAGTGTAACATCTCATCATCATCATCCATCAGTGGAACATCTCACCTCACATCATCCATCAGTGTAACATCTAACATCATCCATCAGTGTAACATGTCACATCATCCATCAGTGTAAGATGTAACATCATCCATCAGTGTAACATCATCTCACATCATCCATCAGTGTAACATCTAACATCACCCATCAGTGTAACATCTCACATCATCCATCAGTGGAACATTTCACCTCACATCATCCATCAGTGTAACATCTCACCTCACATCATCCATCAGTGTAACATCTCACCTCACATCATCCATCAGTGTAACACCTCACATCATCCATCAGTGTGACATCTCACATCATCCATCAGTGTAACATCTAACATGATCCATCAGTGTAACATCTCACATCATCCATCAGTGTAACATCTCACATCATCCATCAGTGTAACATCTCACCTCACATCATCCATCAGTGTAACACCTCACCTCACATCATCCATCAGTGTAACATCTCACATCACATCATCCATCAGTGTAACATCTCACATCATCCATCAGTGTAACATCTCATCATCACATCATCCATCAGTGTAACACCTCACCTCACATCATCCATCAGTCTAACATCTCATCATCACATCATCCATCAGTGTGACACCTCACCTCACATCATCCATCAGTGTAACACCTCACCTCATCATCCATCAGTGTAACACCTCACATTATCCTTCAGTGTAACATCTCACCTCACATCATCCATCAGTGTAACATCTCACCTCACATCATCCATCAGTGTAACATCTCACCTCACATCATCCATCAGTGTAACATCTCACCTCACATCATCCATCACTGTAACACCTCACATCATCCATCAGTGTAACATCTCACCTCACATCATCCATCAGTGTAACATCTCATCATCACATCATCCATCAGTGTGACACCTGACATCCTCCATCAGTGTAACACTCCTCACATCATCCATCAGTGTGACATCTCACCTCACATCATCCATCAGTGTAACATCTCATCATCACATCATCCATCAGTGTGACACCTCACCTCACATCATCCATCACTGTAACACCTCACCTCACATCATCCATCACTGTAACACCTCACATCATCCATCAGTTTAACATCTCATCATCATCATCATCCATCAGTGTAACATCTGACATCACATCATCCATCAGTGTAACATCTCATCATCACATCATTCATCAGAGTGACACCTCACATCATCCATCAGTTTGACACCTCACATCATCCATCAGTGTAACACCTCACATCATCCATCAGTGTAACACCTCACATCATCCATCAGTGTAACATCTCACCTCACACATCATCCATCAGTGTAACATCTCACATCATCCATCACTGTAACATCTCACATCATCCATCAGTGTAACACCTCACATCATCCATCAGTGTAACATCTCACCTCACATCATCCATCAGTGTAACACCTCACATCATCCATCAGTGTAACATCTCACATCATCCATCAGTGTAACACCTCACATCATCCATCAGTGTAACACCTCACATCATCCATCAGTGTAACATCTCACCTCACATCATCCATCAGTGTAACATCTCACATCATCCATCAGTGTAACACCTCACATCATCCATCAGTGTAACACCTCACATCATCCATCAGTGTGACATCTCACATCATCCATCAGTGTAACATCTAACATCATCCATCAGTGGAACATCTCACCTCACATCATCCATCAGTGTAACATCTCACCTCACATCATCCATCAGTGTGTCATCTCACATCATCCATCATCAGTGTAACATCTAACATCATCATCCATCAGTGTAACACCTCACATCATCCATCAGTGTAACATCTCACATCATCCATCAGTGTAACACCTCACATCATCCATCAGTGTGACATCTCACATCATCCATCAGTGTGACATCTCACATCATCCATCAGTGTAACATCTAACATCATCCATCAGTGTAACACCTCACATCATCCATCAGTGTAACACCTCACATCATCCATCAGTGTGACATCTCTCACATCATCCATCAGTGTAACATCTAACATCATCCATCAGTGGAACATCTCATCTCACATCATCCATCAGTGTAACATCTCATCGTCACATCATCCATCAGTGTAACACCTCACATCACATCATCCATCAGTGTAACATCTCATCATCACATCATCCATCAGTGTGACACCTCACCTCACATCATCCATCACTGTAACACCTCACCTCACATCATCCATCACTGTAACACCTCACATCATCCATCAGTGTAACATCTGACCTCACATCATCCATCAGTGTAACATCTCATCATCACATCATCCATCAGTATGACACCTCACCTCACATCATCCATCAGTGTAACACCTCACCTCACATCATCCATCAGTGTGACACCTCACCTCATCATCCACCAGTGTGACACCTCACCTCATCATCCATCAGTGTAACATCTCATCATCACATCATCCATCAGTGTGACACCTGACCTCACATCATCCATCACTGTAACACCTCACCACACATCATCCATCAGTGTAACACCTCACCTCATCATCCATCAGTGTAACATCTCACCTCACATCATCCATCACTGTAACACCTCACATCATCCATCAGTGTAACATCTCACTCACATCATCCATCAGTGTAACACCTCACCTCACATCATCCATCAGTGTAAGAACTCACATCATCCATCAGTATAAGAACTCACATCATCCATCAGTGTAACATCTCACATCATCCATCAGTGTAACACCTCATCATCCATCAGTGTAACACTCACATCATCCATCAGTGTAACATCTCACATCATCCATCAGTGTAACACCTCACATCATCCATCAGTGTAACACCTCACATCATCCATCAGTGTAACACCTCACATCATCCATCAGTGTAACATCTCACATCATCCATCAAGGTAACACCTCACATCATCCATCAGTGTAACACCTCACATCATCCATCAGTGTAACACCTCACATCATCCAGGTAAGACCTCATGGTCCCTAGTATGGTGATCTGCCTTCAGTTGTTGGCGATCAATAGCCCGTTTTTACATTGTATTGTCCAAAATAATTTTCTACTTTTAAAGATACATGTTAGATAGTTTTAACTCGTTTTGTGATACTCTAGTTATTTTACAGTCCACCGATGACTGGTTTTTTAACTGCTTGTATTTATTGTGTATGTACAACCTTTCTCGTCACTATATGGGTGAAATATTGCAGAGGTGGCGTTAGATTTTAACTCACTCACTCAATCATCAGTGTAACATATCACCTCACTACACCATTCAGTCGTGTAACACCTAACGATGCTGCATCCCGAAACATTGAAACACCTAATAAATAGTACATACACACAGAAACAATGTATCAATTACTGCATCCTGAAACACCGTAACATCATACAAATACGACATTCTTTTACAGTGTTACAGACTGCGCCATATGTCAGTGTAATATGTCACTAAACTGTTGTAAATCAGAAGTGTAAATCGTAGCTAATTCTGCATTACTTAAAAGTGAAACACGTCACAATACTACATCAATCAACAGTTGTCCACGAGAAAATATCATATAATAATGTAACGCCTCAATTAAATCAAAAGGGACCTGGGATCGGTTGGTCAGGCTCGCTGACTTGGTTGACACATGTCATCAATTCCCAATTGCGCAGATCGATGCTCATGCTGTTGATCACTGGATTGTCTGGTCCAGACTCGATTATTTACAGACCGCCGCCATATAGTTGGAATATTGTTGAGTGCGGCGTAAAACTAAACTCACTCACTCACTCAAAAGGGACCTAAATGTACTGATTCTCCCACTAGTTGTTCATATAGGTATTTGTAAAAACTTGAAAGCCATTTTATTATTTTTCATTGGTTCGTTCCTGATCTTAATCACACAATAATACATATGTGCCTTCTCACCTCCACCACCACGACACACGTAGAACTAAGTGCCTGGTCTGTGTTTGGTGTGTCTGTGGCTTGTATGGTCAACAGGTAGCGATGTCCACTCGGACCGGCCTCATAGTCCACTCTCTGGCTCCGTCCACTCAGTAAAGCCCCATTCAAGGTGAACACGGGATTAGACGAGTCATCGCCCCCGATCAAGGTCAGTGTGACGTTACCGTTGCTCTCACTGTCGGCGTCTGTTACTGTCAATGTCGCCACTACATATTCTGAAATTAGGCATTAACAACACAATAGACGGCCTAGTCCACCAGCGTAGAATATGTGTGGAAGGACATTCATATAAGAATCTAATCTGAATGTTCCTGTCAGTTTGTTTAAAGAACTGCCAAAGAAAGCTAAGGTCAAGCCCAATGTATTTTCTTACAATAAAATTCACAAGGCATTAAACTACGTTTACAACGAACATGCTTGCTACAACGAAGTGTTTTTTGTCCCGGCTATTGTCTGTATACTTTACTCGAAATGCGTAAAACAACAGTTAAAACGAACTAAACTGAGTCGTCACTTTCGTTGTACCCGTAGTTGACTATACTTTCTTCATTAAATCAGAATTATCTCAAGACACTCAGCTATGATTTAGGCACTTACCCCTACATCGGTCCAGTCTAACATTTATCAACAATGATATTTAATGTTTAGAGGTAATAAGAACGTAATAATCTGTTTCAGACAAATATGTGATGGAGAGTTCGACCAGGAATTAACTCTGACCGGAAGTGACCATCTTCAAGAAGCAACGATAGAGAAGTCTGCTCACCTGTGGTGCCATTTTCTGTTATGTTGGTATGGTAAACTGCCTCGGAGAAATGAGGTTGGTTGTCGTTGATGTCGAGGACGGTGATGTTGAGGTTTACGGCCACCGAATGTCCACAACTGTCCACGACCCCGAGAAGGAGCCCGTCTAAATATAACCGCGCACCTACCCCGTCTCTGTCCACTCGACCTCGAGACGTCAGCTGACCGGAAGTAGCGTTGATGTCGAAATACGAGGCGTCAGATCCTAGACATAAACAACTGTTCCAGTGATCGACAGTCTCAGCATAAATTCTCTGTTCCATTGATCGACCTATGTATATAATCTTAGCATTGTTCAACTGTTACTTAGATCACTATGTTGAAACAAGTCACGATAAAGAAGATGCTCCAGTGATCTTCTCCGCCTGAACATCTGGGTTAGGATTCATAAACCAATGTCTGTCGAAGACGCGATTGATGGGTTCGTGTGGTCGGATCGGTGACGTGTTAATGTATGTCGATTATTCTCAGCCAACCGCCTTATCGACAGGACATGACTGAATTCGACGTTATACAACAAGAAAACCAACAAATGTAGTGTTGACTTAGAGTTAAACCATGACGTAAGACAATCTGCTGATCATGTTTGGAAACATACCTGTTAAATTGAAAGTAAACGTGTCATTTTGATCTCTGTCGGTAACGGAGAACACCTGACCGATCACAGTGCCTTCTATCAGTTCTTCTTGTATAGTCATGGCGTCACTGAGATGAATGATTGGGACTTCGTCACACTCGTCGACGACAGCGACGGTCATCGATACGTTTACCTCGTTGTTGCCATCGCTGACGCTGAAACAGTAATGTCAAGAAGACCTGTCTTCCTAAATGTTGTAATGTTTTCAGGTATGTTATATCAATGTTAAGTAAGTTATTAAATAGTGGCAATTAAATATACTATGATGTCTCACCTTAGAATCAGATGATGAAATGAAGCTGTTTCGAAATCCAGCTTTTTATGAATTTTCAATTTGGTTTGATCGATCTCAAACTGCCCAGTATCATCATTTGGAAGACTAAATGTCAATTTATCACCCTCAGGATCGGAGGCTTGGATGTTTAGAATTACCTCCCCTTGGGGCGTCCCCTCACTGACAGACAACAGAGTTCCTCCATCATGTGATGGGTTTGAGATAACTGGACTTTCGTCCACCAGGATCCTCCATTCTCCAGTTACACCAAAATAGGAGCTTACTGTGATGTAGTGAATCTCAAACGGGAAAGGATCCGATAATGTCAATATGATGTTTGTGCTGACGTCACTTCCCGTACCAACTGTTACAATACCATTTCCGTTCCATGTCACCCACAATTCCTTGTATGAGGCACATTCGAGGATGCTACCAAAATACATCGTGGTGGCAGTGCATGCAGAACACCGATCTCTGAGGCCGCTCCAGGAATTTGATCCAGCGCCAAGAACTACGTCGTAAAAATTGCCAGCAAGGTCTTTGGTCTCTGCTAATCTTATGATAGCGTCCTGACAAGCCTTAACTTCAAAGGTCAAAGGGCTGTTTCCAGTGACCTTGACCCCGAGATCATTGAGGAAGTAGTTCACATTGTCACTGGTCGTTGCCTGATGAACATATTTTCCTGTGTACAGAAGACATTTTGGTAAATATATGAGGAATGTTTTCTTTCTTAACATGGTTTGGTTTGGTTGTTGTTTTACGCCGCACTCGGCAATATCCCAGCTATATGGTGGCGGTCTGTAAATAATCGAGTCGACTAGACAATCCAGTGATCAATAGCATGAGCATCGATCTACGCAATTGGATACGATGACATGTGTCAACCAAGTCAGTGAGCCTGACCACCCGATCCCGTTAGTTACCTCTTACAACAAGCATAGGTTACTGAAGATCAGTTCTTCACGGGTCTCTTAATATGGGACACTGGTGTAGGCCAACGGTAATGCGTTAGCCTGTCTCATCCTAGACCTGGGTTCGACTTCTGTCATGGTCACCGGTGTATCAGTAAACACTCATCCTTATGAGAACGCCTGGCATCATCACTATATGCTAGCAGCTCATAAACACACGAATATGATGAAAATCGGAATCTCTCAATAGGAGACAGCCTTTGAATGGCATTTAGAAATGACTGTGATTTTCTATGTCGATTTTATAGCGTGAGCCTACTGATGTACCATGACGCAATTTGCACTCAGACGACCAGACCCTGTTTTATTCTCCTCCTGCTTAGCCAGAGAAACATCAAGTGCCATGTCTTTACGAATGACGCGACCATCTATTGCTTTGTCAGCAAACGCTGTATTAGAAAGAAGGCCGTGGAATCGTACTACCGACCTACTGCTTTCTCAGTAAACGCGAGGGGCGGTAGGATAGCCTAGTGGTTGAATCGTTCGCTCGTCACGCCGAAGATTCTGGTTCGATTCCCCATATAGGTACAATGTGTGAAGCCCATTTCTGATGTCCCCCGTTGTGATTTTGCTGTAGGCGGCGTAAAACTAAACTTACGCTGTATTCGAAGGCCATGGCACAGATACGAGGTCGTGAGCATTTGACAGTAAACGATAGCGGATACGTTTTCGCAAATATTTGGAATGTATTATCCACGTTAATGCCACGAATACACAGCTTAGGCAGACCTGTGACAAACGATACGTCTTCAAACATATGTGGCTTTACGTAAGTACTTACCTTGATTGTGTAGCGATGTAGTGATTGTGAGTACACATAGTTGTGGTGCTGTAATGTGAGTTATATGCTTGCAATAAGCTCCTCTTTGTTAGGGAACCTATTAACTTCCCCATGAGTGTTTCACAAACATCGGAATGTGATCGACTGTGACCATGCCGATCAAAGTGTCCGACTGTTCATATCAGGACATGTTGGGAACACAAACACAGGACTTGAAAGTATACAAACGAACGCCACTATCGTCTACTGTAACAGCGTCACGGTTATCGTCAGTCGCCGCCGTTCTGTATGACCGGATAGGTCCGGGTTCGAGTCCCCACAAAGAGACTATATGCGCAACGTGTGCGTTAACAGGCTTGAAGCGTGTTTATGAGTCAGTTTATTTCAATACAGTTTAGTGCAACATTACAGCTATGCGAGGAGTGCCATCAAACACGGTGCTGGCTAATTTCGGATTCAGACAGCGATTAAAAGCAAACGATATATCGATAATTTCTTCCGAAAAAAATTCTCCCGGGGTATTTGTAACATAGGGTTACATCTGCCTCATTGTACATTATGCGTAAATACCAATGCATGTTTTCTGTAAAATCATGCCTCAGTATGACAGTTTGGGATACCACTGTATGGGTGTACATGTTTATACGACGTGTATTTATGCCGGAACATGAAGCAACATTCTTACCCGCATTAGACACGGTTCCTCCCATCAGGAGCAGCACAACGATCGACATCTCCATCCTGCAGGGGCGTGGAACACAGGATAAGCCCTGTCACGAAGGACGCCAATTAGTGCCACAGACATTTGTACAAGAATTAAAGACAGACATTTGTTCTGCAAGTTTATGCACAAGAACAAAACTGTTTATCTACATATGCATGTGCATGTAACCATTACTGATTCTTTAGAGGTTATCAAAGCAAAAACACATGAAGAGCATGACTTGTTTTACGAAAGACAGTTTATACGGTCATCAGTCGAAAGATTGCCAGACTGATGGACTTGATACTGACGCTCCTATCAGTGTCAATCACAGGGGTATTCCCAAGTGATCGATAGATGATTGACAGGCTTAGAGTTGGTAGTTTATTGTCTATTAGTACAATGGACATTACAGGAAATAAGCGATGTGAGCTAGTACAAATTGAGGCTTGAAGGATTCTATGAATTTGATTTTTTTTGCTTTACCTTGAAACTGAATTAGTTAATATAATGGAAGCTGTGCTATTACTACATGTTCCTTTGGGAAATGTTGGTTACATCGTGAATGTACGTATGACATGATGCATGAGAAAATAGACTGTTTCGTCGATAACAACACCTCGTGTTCAGAAAAATATAACAAAACCATAATTAGAATGTTCATACATCGTAATCTCTGAAAGTTATTGAAAAACTGTATTCAATTTTGGGGGATTTATCGAAGCGAAAACAGTCACAAATTGTGCAAATTGCGTATCAACTCATCTTATATTGTTCACATCAAACAGCTCTACCCGACTCCAAGAGATCTTGCATAGATGCTACTGCGACCAGAGTGATTATGGTATTACGATATTTCCCCCCGGTAATATCACATGAGTGTGTGAGTGTTTGTTTGTGTGTGTGTGCGCGCGCGTGTGTGTGTGTGTGAAAGAGAGAGAAGAGGGAGGGTGAGGGAGAGTGTGAGTTGTGTGTGAGAGAGTGTGAGTTGTGTGAGAGAGTGTGTGTGTGTGCTGTGAGAGAGTGTGTGTTGTGTGAGAGAGTGTGTGTTGTGTGTGTGAGAGAGGGAGAGTGCGTGTGTGTGTGCGTGTTGTGTGAGAGAGAGTATGTGTGTGAGAGTGTGTTTGTTGTGGGTGAGTGTGTGTGTGTGAGAGAGGAAGAGAGAGAGAGGTGAGGGAGAGTGCACGCGTGTGTTGTGTGTGAGAGAGTGTGGGTTGTGTGTTTGCGAGTGTGTGTGGTGTGTGTGTGCGAGAGTGTGTGTAGTGAGAGTGAGAGAGAGGGGTGAGGGAGAGTGCGCGTGTGTGGAGTTTGTGAGCGAGAGTGTGCTGTGTATGTGCGTGTGTGCGTGAGCGAGTGTGTCTATGAGAGAGAGAGAGAGAGAGAGAGAGAGAGAGAGAGAGAGAGAGAGAGAGAGAGAGAGAGAGAGAGAGAGAGAGAGAGAGAGAGTGGGGCTTTTACACATTGTACCCACGTGGAAAGTCCAATCTACATTACGTCACCGCCCCATTGCGACCGACCAGAAGTTGACAACATGATATAATGTAACTATTTAGCAGTCGTCCCAACTCGTGCGTTATTTAAATCCGATGGTAAACCCCATGTATTTTACAGCTATGTGTTGTTTTGAGTTAAGATATGTTGTACTGTGTACTGTAAGCATAGCTGTACAGTTTTAAACAGTTCGACTTATCCGTGTTCGTCGATATTCATAGACAGGAGGTACCTCTGGAGTTGCCATTAGTGACACATCAAACTACATATATATTAGTTTCCAAACCTTACCATGTTATGCATCAAAATACACACCAGTTCTCTCTGTCGTTACTGATAAATAAACATCAACCATTGTGAAATCGTTCAGTTGTATAACACCTGAAGATAATGTTATGTGCGCCTATACATTGCATTGTAATCCTTGCGGTATAAAAACAGAATGTATACGAATGTATACGAAATACCACAAGCAGGGGCGAATTCCCAGGACAGTTTTGAGGGGAGGTGGCGGGGCTTTCCATAGAGGAATCGTTTTCCGCGCAAGAGCTTTGAGGCGCAATTAACACAGGGCGTTTGGCTAACTGCTCAGCAATCGAAATTACATGCAGAACCAACTCACATAAAGTCTCATTTCTGTGTGTGAGCGTTTGTCAGTTATTGTTAAGGACTTTTTTTTCAGAAGGAGAAAGTGTTTCTTGAGATATGCATGCATGAAATGTACTTCACCTGTGTGTTCAGCATCCCCCTGGGAACGTGGTCAGGTGTCGTCATCCTGTTGTTCTCTCACCGTCCAGTCATCACTAATAAGGCTGACTTGGGCAATACCCCGCTCCTTTATATACAACAAGGACGCCGTTGTAAATCAAGGTCAGGAGGGTTAAGACGCCATATTTGTCGTCATGCAATCTGAAAGCGGCGAAGGTTGGTCGCAAGAGGATCTTGTCTGCCAGCGACACTGGATCTGCCCGACCAGAAGGATCACCCATTGTGCCGACTCTTTGACGAGGGGAAGGGGTTCGACTATACCCCGTGTACTGCCATTCAGCCGTGTAGAGTTAAACCCTGGTTACACACAGCGATGTCGTGTTGGATAAAAAACAGCGAGTATCTTGTCAATCATGATTGGAACATAA